CCCCACTGGTTATGCTACTTGCATTTAAAAAAAAACTGTTATAGAATGCAATCAGATTTAAGTTATTGATTGTCCTATTTTTTTTTTTTTTAAGAATTGTATATTAAATGTCTTCATTTATCACTTTTCAGTCCCTCTGCCCACCAGGTGTGTCAAAGCATTATAGAGTAACATCGATAAAAATTAAGGGCAGGTACCCATACCCTGCTATTTACCTGAATAAAGAGTGCACAGATTGGGGCTACCTCCATACCTGTACTCTTTAAGAGACATTCTGACTGGGGTCTGTGCCATAACTATGTGCTTCTGGATGTCTGGTAGGAAGAACAACCTCACAAATAGAATCATAGAAACATGAAGTCGGAAGGAGCCTATAAGGCCATCAAGTCCAACCCCCTGTTCAGTGCAGGAATACAAATCAAAGGATCAATAGAGCCAATATAAGACCTGGCTCTTTAGGCAGGCTTTCCCTCCTGTCATCACTTGACTATTTTTATTCCCCCCCCCCATCTTGAACTGTATTACTATTGTTGTTTTTAATCTTGTTATATTGTTTTTATTCTATTTTTTATTGTGAGCCGTCCAGAGTATTCGGTCTAGCTGGGCGGGGTATAAATAAATAAATAAATAAATAAATAAACAAACAAACAAACAAACAAACAAACAAACAAACCCTTACCTTTTTATTGCCTGAAATTCTGTTCTTTAGCATAGTAATCAGCACTAGTCTAAGCCCTTGAAATTAATGGAACTTACAGAGGAGCTGAATCACCAAATCCCCACTGATTTCACAGGCCTACTCTAGTTGCAACGTACTTTGCTAAGCAACAGAATTTCAGTCACTATATCTTAAAAATATAATATTAGATTCCAGCCAAAAAGAATCTTAAAACAGGCAGAGAAAAAAATTCTAGCCATTTATTAAGACTATGTGGCCCATATCCTTTCAAGCAAGGCTGCCCCATCTCACAGCAAAGAACAATTCCATCTCTTTGTTGTTGTTGTTACATGTCATAAAGCTGCACTGATTTATGCTGATTTTATGACTTTACATCCAAAACGTCCTGTTCTTAACAGGCCTGCTCAGCTCTTGCAAACTAAAGGCTGTAATTTCCTTCTTAGTCAATTCATCTTGTATTTGGTCTTCACCACCATCTAAAATTCCAGCATGACCAAAACAGAACAAACCAAATGTGCTATGAAGTCCTGCACTGCCTCCTAAGTGCCTCAGGACCTACCTTAACTGATCTAGGTGTGCCAAGTTTATCTATGGAAGTACCAGTGGTGCCTATAGTATCCTAGATTCACGTCTGAAAAATTGTGAACATTGCTTTAATGGCTGCTTTTTCTGCAATGAACAATTTTATCCTACTGATAACCACACTCTCAGAACCCACTAACAAAGTGTTCTCCCCATCACTGGTACCAGTTATATACGTACAACATCAAATACTTACATGCTGTAAGAGGTACAACTCCCAACCATGCAAAGGCCACAAGTGTATAATGAAACCAGTATCGTATTGCTGTGCCAATACTAGTAACTAGTCCAGCAAATATGTCTTGGATTGGAAGCCGGGAAGGCATATCTGGAGAATAAACTAAGAAAAAGAATACAAATTAAATAAATAAAAATGGGAAGACTACTATCAATATATGTGCTAAAACATTAAAAGAAGGCTTCCCCACAACTTGTTACAAGTTTGCAGTCAGTGTTATAACATCAGAAAGTGGATCATACTAAATCAGACTATTAGTCCATCTAACTTAGCATTCCCAATAATAACTCACAGTAGATTTTCAGGTTTTCAGACATAAATCTTTCCCAGCCTTACCTAGAGATGCAGAAGTGAACCTCCTCTCAGACACTCTTCCACTAAGTTAGACAACTTCTCAGGTATTTCTGACTCAGCTTGGGCACAGGGTAAGACCCGTATGACTACCTAAGCATACAGTATCACTGCTTTGCTTGGGTATTCTCAGGTCTGAAGGGGAGGCCAGGTCTGAGAATACATCTGCATGAACTGTTGCAAAGTCTCTCTTCATATGCAACTACAGGATACAGCAGCCAAGGGCCAACTATCTGCAGAATGAGTATCTGGATAGCAAAGTATCTGTGCTCAACAAACACCATCCCTGCTTTCTTCGCAGGATACCCAGAAAAGTGAACAATACAAGAAAAACAATGAAACATTAAATATAACCCCCAAAAAGTATGAAAGTGGTGACACACAGATGAAATAAGTAGCACATCAGAAGGCTGGGTTGATAATATTAGCTAGTAGCATGGGTGGTGTTTGAAAATTAGAACATTTAAACACTATACTGTATCATATGGAATATTGCTGGTTTGCTGTCAGTCTGATTCATCCAAAATGGTAAAGCCTTTTTGTCCAAGAGAGAGCTCTAACGTGGCTGAAACTGAGCATTCAGCATGGAAAACTATCTAATCCAAGTGGCATAAACATAAGGCAATGCCTAGGAAGTTTCATCTTCTAGAGACATACAGGGTGCAAACGAACCTGCAAATCTAGCTAAAGGCTCTCTGAACACTAAAATAACAAAAACTAATTCATGCTAACAAAATAGAGATTTATGCAACATACTTACTTGGTGTAAAAGCAAATCTGTGTTTACATAATTCACAGTATTCTTTTCTGCTGTGTTTGAGCCACTGAACTAAGCTGCAATAAAATGTATCATAATAATGAATCGACATCTTAAAAAGCACAATTTTAACAGTCAGAAATTAAGCAAAGTAAGCAGGAAGACATACTTTTAAACAGGAAAATATAAGGAATTCATATATGAAGCAGAGATAATTATTTTCCTTAAATACTTTCCTTAAATATTTTCCTTAAATACTTTTATCATTTATCATTTAAACACTACATCAATGAGCACACTTCAATATACATTCTACACTCTGGTAAGAAAAACCATTATAGCCATAAATACATTGCAATTATAGAAACACTTTTTACAGACTCTTGTGTAATCCTATCAATCATACTGGGGTTAGAGCAACATAAGTAGTTTTTACTTCCTCTTCACATTTAGCGACTTTCTTAACACTTTAGCTCATGCTTTTGTAAAACCTTATTAAAATATTAAACGACTCCATCACTGTTTTTCTTCCTTTTATGTACTAAAATCTCGATCAAAATTCAGTATAAGCAGCCAAAATGCAAGAGTTGTGTAAAAGATAATGAAGCATTGTTTCTCTCCACAATTGCTAAAATGTTCACATGCTCTACTTTCAGAACCAGAATGGATATTTTTTGAAGGAGGAAGCTTACCATTCTTGATGGATAAATTTAATACTGCCAGTACATACACACGGATGATAGAGAGGTTTCTCTGGAGTTCCTTCTGACCGACATACTCTGCATATGTCTGTTGAATACAAAGAAGCAGAACTGACAAACAATAGAATCATAATACAAAAATCCGTCATTGTGAGATTTTTTTTAAGCCCTGGTGTGCTCACTTTTGCTAAACAGTGGAAGGAAGGAACCACTAAAACAAGATCAACAGCCATCAGTTTTTAAATTTTGAATCTACCATTTCTGGCCTACTTTAATTTAAAACCACTAAGACTGGTCAGAAATTACTGTTAAGCCATAAACACCAACAATGCTGACAGATTATTCTAAACAGGTCAACAGTTAGCATATTCTTTAGGTACGAGAAATTCTGCTTTAGCAGGAGTTTGGACTTGATGACCACTAGAGTCCTTCCAATTTTGTACTTTTATTAGTCAATAATTTTATGTCATAATAAACTTCTTTTCAAGAGTCTTCTCTTGATTGTCTTGCTGTTAAAAGCAAAAAGCTTCCTTTCCCATTTTTTCCTCAAAAGCTGAAAACTACTGTAGTATTTTCTCAGCACACAGCGCTTCCGTACAGTTAAACATTGATACATGAAGGATATTAAAATACTTTCATGACTGAGAAAATTCTTCAGGGTGAAGAAGCTCTCAAGGTCCCCCACTCATTTCAAAGAATCCTTCTTGCCTAGAGCACATCCCAGGGTAATTATGTATTTAAAACATGACAAATTATATTCTTTGTTTCTAACAGACATTTTAAAAAGTGCAATTCTAGACACTAATCCTGGGCAAAGTGCGGTCCGTGGGCCACATACAGCCTGCGAGCCGCTCCTGTCTGGCCCGCCCATTGCCGCTCCTGTCCGGCCCACCCGTCACCGCACGGCAGTAAGCAAAACTCGCGAGTTTTGACTATTACTCTTGAGCCACAGGCTGCGGAGACTTTGGCTCAAGAGGCCAGAAGCGATCCTTGCACAGGCGACATGATGAAGCATCACGTTGCCTGTGCAGGATAGAAGACAGTCGGAGAGGAAGGCTGCGGAGGAACAGAGGACTGATGAGTTAGCTCAGTGTCGGGGGGGGGTTCCTCTCCCCCCCTGCAGTGAACGAATTACAACACTCACATAGTTAATTCCCTAAAAAGTTTAGGGAGTTAACTATTTCAGCCTTGTAGTTTGTTCACCGCAAGGCCTCACCCAATGGGGGCCTACTACTACCCACAAATTCCACCTAATGGGGGCTATTTTTAAGTAAAGTTGGTTTGGCCCCTGAACACAGTTCAGATTTTTCATGTGCCCCCCTACAGAAATTAATTGCCCACCCCACCCCACTTGTAACTAACAAGTCCCGTTCATTTCAGTGAGTTTGCTCTAGTTGTAACTAACACTGCAGCCCTTTCATCGCTGCTTTACCCCTCCACTTCCTAAGCCCTGGGGCTTACGAAGTGCAGGGGCAAAGCAGCCATGAAACGGCTGTAGGATCAAAGGGCTGTGATCCTGCAGCCCTTTATTCCCTTACCCCCTTACTTCCATGTATAAGATGACCCTCAATTTTTAGTCTAAAGATTTTAGACAAAAGTATCATCTTATACACAGAACAATATGGTAAGAAGTTGGTATAGGCCTTTTTTGTTGTATTCTAGTCAATAACAACTGCTATGCTAACTTCCTAATTTGCAGCAATTTGCCACTGAAATTTATGCTGACGGATTTACAATGATTTAATTTTTCAACTGGAATCTGGCTCAAATTCTAAACATACCAGTGATGTGTATGGGGCGGGGGAATCCATACTCTAAGTCTGGGCTCCCCAACCCCTGGTCCATGGCCTGGTACTGGGCTGTGGAAACAGATCTCCCACTCACCTCACGCATGTACACCCCCAATACACGCACAGACGCCTTGCTCATGCACACACCTATGCACAGCTCCCCACATGCATGCACAGATGACCCTCCCATGCACACATGCACAGATGCCCCTCCCCCCACGCACAGACTCCCCTCCCCCCGCTAAACCGGTCCGTTGTTCGGAAAAGGTTGGGGACCACTGCTCTAAATAATGTTAAATGGTTTTGCATGTTTGGTTTAAATGTTATATTCAAACAAATTCAAAGTTTCGTGCAGAAACTATTTTACTGGAATATCTACAATAATGTAAAGAGAATATTATACACTTCCTTTATATTTAACCAAAAAACGAGTACACCTGAAAGAACACAATTTTTAAAGACACATATCTGAAGAGATCAGTACCTAGTATATGTTATATCAATAGTTTAACTTTCTTTGTTCTTTGAGTCTATGGGCACAGACAACTTACTACATTTTGTCGTGTTTATCTATACTTCTAACTGATTGAGAAGCGAGAGAATTTGTAAAATACAAACAAGTTTAGCAGTGTGTTCATTTGTTAGCCTACTAGAAACAAATACATCATGCATAAGTCTGGTCCAGACCCAGTCAGAGGTTAACTGATGTATGCACAAGAGGTTGCCACACATTATTTTTCAGTTCCCCCACGGGCAACTGGGCATTAGGGTTTCTCAGTGCTGGTGAATGTGAATTATTGCTCACATTTCTTGTTGTATGCCAGTTGAATAACTTGACACAGAACAAGAATATGAGAGTCAATGTGCTAATTAGCCACAATTCATCACTGCAATTATTTTAAACTGAAATAGAATTTTGCATGAATGTTATGTATGAGTCATGTGGAGACATTAAAACCATATATTTTCAAAGTGCGGACTATTCAATCTGCAGCACAGTGTGGCAAAAAAGAGAGATGCTAGAAAGATATAATCAAAAGATACAACTAACACTGTTTTCTAGCCAGTCACTGACATTCTCTTTTTCAAACAAAACATAAAAAAATACTTGTGTACTGTAAGCTTCAGAGAATCAATATCATCTGAGTCAACTATGTCAAAGAACCAATACATGCATTCTCCATTAATGAAAATACTCTTACAGCTGGAAGCTAGTGGCCTAGATTATCTAAATATTTAGCATGCATACTGAGATTTAAGTGCTCAAAGTACAGTATCTAAATGGAGCAGTAACTCTTTAAAAATATGTAAAGTCTGTTAGGCTGGTGAAATGAGCCCTTAGAGAAGACAAGAGCTGTCTTGTGAGCTCATGGCTGAAATAATATTTGAAAAGACACTTCAGGCCCATATCTCAAGCCAATGTGTTACAGAGGTTTCTGATGCTTTCCCCTATACCTAGATACCATCCTTCATATACACTCAGACAAAAAAGAGCAGTAACAGATAGCCTCTGGAGATACAGTGTTTATAAAAAGTTTACACACCCCTGTTAAAAGGTCAAGTATTTGTGATGTAAAAAAATGAGACAAAGAAAAATCATTTCAGAACTTTTCCCACTTTTAATGAGACCTATGAACTGTACAACTCAGTTGAACAACAAACTGAAATCTTTTAGATGGAGAGAAGTAAAAATAAAAAACTGAAATAATATGGTTGCATCTGTCTGCCCACCCTCTTATAACTGGGGATGTAGTTGTGTTCAGCAGTAAACAATCACATTCAAACTCATGTTAAGTAGCAGTCAGTACACCCTTGTCATCATTTAAAGTGCCTCTGAGGAACCAAATAAAGATCAGCTGTGCTAGTAGGTCTTTTCTGACATTTTCTTAGTCGCATCCTGCAGCAGCAGCCATGGTCTGCAGAGAGCTTCCAAAGCAACAGAGCAATCTCATTGTTAAAAGGAGTCAGGAGAAGGGTACAAAAGAATTTCCAAGGCATTAGATATACCATGGAACACAGTAGACAGTCGTCATCAAGTGGGTTTCCTGTCACTATCAGTGCCTCAGTCCACTCCCAAATAATAGTTCAAAAAGTGATGTTCTAAATCAGTGGTTCTTAACCTGGGTGATATCGCTCCCCAGGGGGCAATTTCATTTTTCAGGGGGGCGATGAAACGAAAAGGGGTGACACAGGGGTGAAGGAACAGAAGGGGGCAATGTAGCTGCCGCGCTGCCTCCGCCATTGAGGAAGTTATCATCGCCTCCCTCCCCATGCCACCGGATCCAAAGCAGCTGGTGCTGGCAGAGGATGTGGTGCCGCCGCCATTGAGGAAGTTATCATCACGCACTTTCCTACTCCAAATTATAACAGATAGAAGAATGGTCAGAAGAATACACATACCTCTTCACCAAGGGAGTTTAAATCACAATAAACTACTTTTAAATCACACCTTTAAATGAATTTCCTAAATGGATTTCACATACTTCTTCAACAATGATGCATGCTGAGTGGGTTAATATAACCAGTAAAACAAACTAATTTATAATTTAATCTAGCATTTGGGAGTACAGTATGTGCTTTGACTAGTGATATAAAATAAAATAGAGTCAGGACAGGCAGCAGTCATGATAGTTTCAACACACAATAAAGTTTAGGAACAAATAAGTGAAGCTGTACACCGAACAGAGCTGCACTCCTTTCTTTATGAAGTTACTGATTTCTGTTCCAGTATGCTTCTTCTCATATACAGTGGTGCCTCGCATTACGATGTTAATGCGTTCCAGCGAAATCGCTGTAGAACGAAAACATCGTAAAGCGAAATTAAAAAGCCCATAGAAACGCATTAAAACCTGTTTAATGTGTTCCGATGGGCTTAAAACTCACAGTCCAGTGAAGATCCTTCATAGGTGGGCAATTTTTGCTGCCTGTCTTGCGAGGAATCCGTCCCTAAACACAGCGGGGAGCCATTTTATTTACCCGGTGGCCATTTTGAAACAGTCAATCAGCTGTTGGAAAATCGTCGTTTTGCGAAGAATTGGTTCCCGAAGCAGGGAACCGATCATCGCAAGGTGAAATTCCCCCATAGGAAACATCGTTTTGCAATCGCAAAAGCGATCGCAAAAAGTTCATCGTAATGCGATTTCGTCATTAAACGAAGTGATCATAATGCGAGGCACCACTTACAGTATTAAACAGTTCCCTCATAAGGCTGCAAGGTAAACTCAGAAAGACAAAGTAACCAACAATTCAGAAACTTTTTATCCATAACATGGTGTTGCTTTCTTAAACATAACCAAGGACTCAGGCATTTCCTGAAGAAAGGGCTGGTTGGTGATTACTGAGAACAGCAATTTATATTAATAAAACAAAATATCACTATTCATGTACAGAAAGCGAATTGTCATAACTGAAGAGCTGAACAAATTGCAGACCTTAGCAATCAGCAGCTGCCACATTAGAGGATATATAGCAGATGATACTTCCTGAGGCTGGATTTCAATGCCTGTTGTAACCAAGTTTATGACCTCCAGTATCAACTCCATAATAACACTACCATATAGTAAAACAGTCTATAGTACGTAATATCTACAAACAACAACAAAAAGCCACTTATTAATTGTTGTTTAGTCGTTAAGTCGTGTCTGATTCTTCGTGACCACAGCACGCCAGGACCTCCTGTCTTCCACTGCCTCCCGGAGTTGGGTCAAATTCATGTTGATAACTTCTATGACACTGTCCAGCCATCTCATCCTCTGTCTTCCCCTTTTCCTCTTGCCTTCACACTTTCCTAACTTCAGGGTCTTTTCCAAGGAGTCTTCTCTTCTCATAAGATGGTCAAAGTATTGGAGTCTCAGCTTCAGGATCTGTCTTTCCAGTGAGCACTCAGGGCTGATTTCCTTCAGAATGGATA